ACGGTGTATTGGTAGGGAAAATAGGAGGGCTTTGTAGAACACCACAGCCAATTTGGAGACTTGACGAGTGTTACTATCAGCAAAACAACAACAACAACAAACTCTGCAATGAATTTCTCCCACAACTCTTCAGAATTTCATCCAGTTTTGGGATTAGACGATAATTCTCCGGAATTTTAAGACGATGATGGATCTGGGTAGGGGGTGGTGGCTGGGAGGGTGGTACAGTTTACTTAAATAGTATCGCCGGACGGCTACACGTTTAATATATTCTATTTATACAGTAGCTATACGTTTAGAATATTCTATTTATAGCCGGGGCCATACTTTTTTAACACATTCTATTTATATAGTCCCGCCGCGCGGCTATACTGTTAGATATTATGGAGTCTAGCCGGACGGCTATACCTTTAACATATTCTATATATACAGTATAGCCGTTCGGCTATACCATTTGACATATTTTATTTATACACTATAGCTGCCCGGCTCAACTGTTAAATATTTTATTTATACGGTATAGCCGCGTGGCTGTACCTTAGCCACGCAGCTATACGTTTCAACATATTCGATTTCTTCATCCAAGTGTGTAGTCCAACCAAATTCTCTCTCTCTCTCCAAGAAAATGGCGAAAGATGAACGCAGGGTGTTGTTGGCATTACTGAATAAATGGGCTAGGCGTGTTAGAATTCAGACTATGATATGAATTATTACTTGCATTCTACAACTGCTACTGAATGAGCAGAGGTTTCAGAGAGATTTTCAGAGTGAGAGAGAGCTTGAGGAAGGAGCAAAAAAGATGAATATGTTATTCTCTCACGCACACACTGTGCACTCATAACAGCTGGAATAAGATATTCCAAATTACATCATCCAAATCTAGCCATCCATTCTTCTAGTCTAAGATTACATCTTAGCTGTCCGCTTGAACTGTAATCCAAGGGCTCACATTTAAATCTTTAAATTTAAACTAAATACAAAACAATATCAGCTAAAACACTTATATTTCAACAGGGCAGGCTAAGCGGTTGCTAGGAGGTCACTAGGCGGGCATTAGGCAGTCTAGGCAGGTGCTAGCGCCTAGAAAAAAAAATACAAATTTATAAATAAACCCAATCCTACACATGTATTTATAAAAAAACCCAAGCACTATTTAAACATAGAAACACACCCAAAATCAACCCCAAAGTCAACTTTTTGGGTGTGTTTATAAATGGGTTTTGAGTGTATGTAATGATGGGTTTTTGGTGTGTTTATAAAGTGTTTTGGGTGTTGGGTTTTTTTATAATTTCAACCTCCATTTTGGGTGTTTTAGTGAAACTCCCAAAAAAAAAGCCATTTTGGAATCTCCAAGGTTAGGGACAAGATGACGATGTGCTATGAGAGAGAGAGAGAGAGAGAGATATATATATATATATATAAGGATTGAAGAAGAGAGGTCGCCAGTTATGTCTGAGCGAGAGAGAGGGGCTAGAAGACGGCTCGTGTTCCAATGAATTCAAGGAGATCCATTCTGTCTCATAGTCATTATATTCTATTTATAGCGTATAGCCGCACGACTATACTTTTAATACAAATTTAGTTATACACCCAATCTTAGACATGGTCTTATAAAGAAACCCTATACCATTTAAAAACTATAAACACACCCAAAAAAAAACCAAAAAATCACAGCTGTCAATTTTTTTAAAATTAAATAGCCATTTTTTAGTTTATTTGTGTGTGTAAAATACCTATATTGCCCTTGTACTATGGATTTGAGAGAGAAAATCAAATCTGCCCAGATCTGCCAAAAAACAGATCTGTCCAGATCTACCAAAAAAATCAAATCTGCCAAAAAAAAAAAATCAAATCTACCAAAAAACCAAATCAGATTTTATTTTCTCCTTTCTTGCTGGTGTTTTATCGATGTTGGAACAAGAGGAGTTTCCATTGAAGCTCAATCTCAGGTCCAGCTATATTCTTCATCTCTCATCTACAATTTTCAATATTTCACCTTCAAATTCTTATTCTAAAACTGTGCTTATATTGTTTTTTTTTTCCGGATTATTTGTAACCTTGAACGAACCTCGATCAGATGCTCTTAGCTCTACTCCTCATCTTCAAGCTCTACTCCTCTTTCACCACGTCATTGTCGTCGTTGTCATCATCTTTATTGTCGTCGTCGTCGTTTGGTTTGGACTTGAGATTTTTTATCTTTTGCTTCAATTATGTGTTTCTCTTCAGATTTTAGTTGATTTTCGAAATGTATTTTAAGCTTTGATGATTGATTTATCCATTGTTACTATTTCAGCATGGATCTCATTTTGTTTAACAATGCACTTCTATGACAGAGTATTAACAATGTCCTTTTATGACATAATAGTATTAACAATATGGGCTCGGCTTGTTTTGAGTTGGTCTAGTTTGTTCTTTCTTCTTTTCTCTAGTGGACATGTATTAGAAATAGCAACAAGACAAACATTAATCAACATGATAGCAAACTAGCAATGTTATTACCTTAGACTGGAACATTACAGGGGTAGATATGCATTAGTAATAAGATATCATAGGAAATTAGCAGTGTTATTACCCTAGACTGGAACATTACATTGGTAGACATGCATTAAAAATAGGATGTCATAGGAAACTAGTAGTGTTATTACTTTAAAAATAGGATGTCATAGGAAACTAGTAGTGTTATTACTCTAGACTGGAACATTACACGGGGTAGACATGCATTAGAAATAGGATGTCATATGAAACTAGCAGTGTTATTACCCTAGACTGGAACATTATAGCCATTAATCAACATGACAGTAAACTAGCAGTGTTATTACCCGAGATTGGAACATTATAGCTATTAATCAATATGACAGTAAACTAGCAATGTTATTACCCTGTACTAGAACATTACAAAATAGCAGTGTTATTACTTTATACTGGAACATTACATGGGTAGACATGCATTAGAAATAAGATGTCATAGAAAACTAGCAGTGTTATTACCTTAAACTGGAACATTATAAGGGTAAATATGAATTAGAAATAGGATATTATGGGAAACTAGTAGTGTTATTACCCTAGATTGGAACATTACATGGGTAGACATGCATTAGAAACAGCACTTCAATTATCTGAAAGATTTACAAATCAACGGAAACTAACAAAACCAGCCTTGAGCCACCGATATTTAAGCAAAAACCTTTATACTTTAATGATGAAAATGACTACTAGAGGTGCTGAAATGAATAAACATAGCACGTACCCGAGACGAACCAAAACAAGACATGAACAAAATAACAGAAAAGATAAAGAGCTAATGCAAATAGCACATTGTGATAACACCATCTCCATGAGACTTATTTGCCCAAGAGCCACCATTGTGATAACTCCATGAAACTTCTCTGGGTTATTTGTTGTTGTTCGGAAATCTTCTTTGCAAGTTAAATCATTGAACACAGTAACTCATATTGTTAATATTACTGGACAAATGGCCTAGGTGGGCTAGGCTGGGGCTAGGAGGGGTAGGCAGTCTAGGCGTTTGCTAGGCGGGCGCTAGGTGGTCTAGGCGGTCACTAGGCGGGCGCTAAGCGGTCACAGCGGGCACTAGGCGGTCTAGGCGTTCTAGGCAGGCACTAGCGCCTACAAAAAAAAAAGCCATTTTGGAATCTCCAAGGTCAGGGACGAGATGACGATGGTGCTATGAGAGAGAGAGAGATGAGGATTGAAGAAGAGAGGTCGCTGGTTATGTCCGAGCGAGAGAGAGGGGCTAGAAGACGGCTCGTGTTCGAATGAATTCAAGGAGATCCATTCTATCTCATAGTCATTATATTTTATTTATAGCGTATTGCCGTAGTCATTATATTTTATTTATAATGTATAGCCGCACGGCTATACTGTTAGATATTCTGGTCACCTAATTTGCAGTAATGATCCCTCAACTATACTTGGAGTTACATTTTGGTCACTCAACTCCAAAAAATAGTTGTAGAGGTCACTCAATTAGGTGTAGTGTTGCATCATTAGTCCCTACCGTTAGAGAAACTTGACGGTAGAGACTAATGGTGCAACACAACACCTAATTGAGTGACCTCTGCAACTAATATTTGAGTTGAGTAACCAAAATGTAACTCCGAGTACAGTTGAGAAAGCATTACTACAAATAACTCATTAATATATATTCAATTAATCAAAACATCGGCCTTGGGCCTTGGGGCTCTTGGGCTCTTGGTGGATGCTCTAAAGACAATTGGCCAGAAAATATGAAATAAGAACCATGTCGTGTTTAGCACAATAAAAAAACACAACGAAGAATACACAAACATTAAGGCCTTGTTTGTTAGACAAGATTAGGATTGGACCAAAAAAGATTAGGACTGGGCAATTTAGCACTAATTCTGTCTTCAGCCGAACAATGATTTTCTAAAAACTTGAATTAAGTATGAGTAAAAGCTCACAAACTGGCCTTAATTAACAAGACACTCCTCAAACTCGATGTGAGAAAACCTCAACCTATCAACTATTGTCTTCTTCTCTTCAACCAATATAGGCTTATTTACAACAATGGCCCAAAACTGCTAAAATATGAAAATACAACTTCTATATGTTGTGTTAATTCTTCTCTCCAGTCCTAATTGTACAAGTAATATTGGTTTACACGCTAACTAGGAGTGTTTTTATTTTTGTTTTTTGGGTACTACACTAATACTAATTATTTTTTAAACTATTCCACTTTTAAAAATAAAAAAAAAAGAAGAAGAAAAGCTGTCACTTGTCAATCGGATTTGGAGACTTGTAAACCAAGAAATCCTAGTCCTAGTCCAAGTCCTAGTCCTAATCCTAATCCTAATCCAAATCCCAATTCTAATTCTAATCGTATTTGGTTTAGATTCTGAAGTCTCTCCCCTATATATACATAGGTCTCTTTAGAATAAAAACCCAATCTTATTTCTCTTCTTGTTGAGTTCGATCTTCTAAGGCTTCTCGGTGTTCAATTTTGTTGTTTTGCTTCTATATCCATGGCTTCCAACAATGAAATTAGAAAACCAATCGAGTCACTGATAATGCCTTCCATATCCTCCCTTGAGTTTTTCCTCTTCACCAAACCAAAATCCGATTGGTACGAAAATATGGATGATGATTATTATTTTGAGGAGGAGAAGGAGTATGATGATGATGATGATGATGAAGATGGTGTTTCCTCACTCCTTGACCAATTTGATCAACTTTTCAGGAAAAGAAAGCCTTCAAATAATTCATGTACAACCCATGTACATGACAGCCCCAAAAGCGATGATTATACTGTGTCTCTAGATGGTTTAAATCCAACCCTTCATCAACATCAAGATGATGAGTCCTATTTTACAGAGCCATTGTCCCCACCAAGATCTGCATCTTACTTTGAGTGCAACATGTGCATGAAAATGGCAAGAGAGCCAGTTGTGACTGCTTGTGGGCATTTGTATTGCAGGCCTTGTTTGTACAGTTACAGCTCTCAAAAGGAGGAGTGTCTTGTCTGCCAGAGTAAAGTGTTTAATTCTTCGGTCACTCCTATTTACAACTGCAGAGACCTCAACTCTGGCTTCAATGTGCCACCAAGACCAAGTTCGAGAGTCCAGCAAGCCATCTCACGTATCAAGCAATGGCAAAATAAAGATTTCTCTGTCGAAGAAGGTCATCAAATAGTGGGGGAATTAATATCCCATTTGCAAGTCTTGGATGAAGAGCGTCTCGTTCCTCGATCTGTTTATCATTCTGGACTTGTCTCAGCTCAAGAATTCAAACAAGCTGCAGATAAGTGGGAGACAATGCATACCTCTATTGAACATCTACAGAAAAGCAGATCTCAGTGTTCTGCTCAAAACTTAGAATTGCAAGGTCTGAGAAACCAAGCTCAAGAGGTAGAGGCTCAGATTGCTAAACTGCAAACAGACCTCAAAACTATCAGAAATAAGGAAAAAGAGGTGCATCTTCAACTTCAAACCAATCTCAAAAAATCCTGGGAGCTACAAAAACAGATCACCACCACTGCTCAACCCAGATTAGAAAAACCGTATGTTACTATCTTGAAGGGTTCAACACTCCGGGCAGATATGGATGCCAAATTTAAATTCCTCAAAGTCATCTTGACTAGTCTTGTACTGTAATTTTGATATAAGAGCATCTACAATGGACTTTTTATAATTTATTGTTGCTTTGTTTTATGTATATTTTAAACTTTTAATTAATATTAATTATTTTTATATAGAGATGAAGTAATTATATTGAATCAAAAAATAATTATAGTATTTATGACTTTTGATTGGAGTTCAAATTTTATAAAGAGTTCCTAAAATAGCTTTTGTGTATTTTTAGCTATATTTTAACTAAAAAATAGAGAGCATGATTGTAGATGCTATAATCCAATGAAATATGAAATTTATCGTCTTTCTGCCTTAAAAACAACGTGGTTTCTTGCATTGATGAAAAGAGTTACTTTACAACCATATGTATGGCTTAAGCAATATTAAGGGCCAGTTTGGCATTGCTGTGCTGTGAAAATAATCGCTGTCAAATTTGCTGTCAGAGAAAGTAACTGTGAGAGAAAGCAATTTGGCGTTTGGTAAAATTTTTGTTAAAAGTGTTGTTGGTATTGATTTTACTCATAATCAGAAATGATTGCCGCATAATCATTAAACCCCGCACCTCTTCGAAACTGATTCCTACATAATCAGAAAATAAAACACCTCATTAGCTACTTTCTCTTATAGCTTTCTCTCACAACAATTTTTAACAATAAGTAATTTTCTCACAGTTTACCAAACAGGTTGGGCTTCTCAAAATTTTAAAAAAATCACTTATTACCCCAAATAAGCAATAGCAAACGGGCACTAAGTGCCCGTTTGAAGTTGATTATTTGGAGTTATGTGATTTTTTTAAAAAAATTTGGAAATTCCTGCCCGATTGGTAACCTATGAGAAAACAATAAGGTTTTATTGTCTGATAAATTTGAGGCGCTGGGTTTTAATGAATTTTGTAAAATTCCGAAAATACCCCTATCGATTTTCTGGCTCTCTTCTCTTGGTGCGTCGTCTCCTCCTTCCCTCGCGTGACGTTGCTTCTTTTCGCCATCGCTTCACAGAGCCTACTCCTCTCCTTTTCTTCCATTCTGCCTACAGTTTTTTCTTGTTGGATCAATTGAGGCGCACTGCTGAGCCACAAGACTCAGGTAAGAGGCGCATATTATGTTTATTTCTTTTCAATTTCAATCTTCCCTCTTTCTCTTTAATTTCCAGGGTTTTAATTATCATTGTTGTTGCTATTGGTTTTCTATATCACGTATTGGCATGAGAATGGCAGTTTTCCATTTGGGTTTTAGGGCACTGCAGCTCCCTATCTATCTTCAAAGCTAGATAGGGAGCTGCTGTGCAGATAACATAGAATCTGGAATTGTCATCAATTATGGTGTAGTTTGAATTATGTGGTTCCCTGCGGGAATTATTGAGAATAGTTGACCTGTTTTTCAAATACTACAAAGTTGGATTAAATAACAAGCAGTACTAGAAAAATAAAATTATACGACGAAAAGGTTTTGGGGATTCAGTCCTTCCCTCCGTCCATTTCCGATTTTCACAGGCAGCGCAACTTCACTCTCCATTTCCTTTCCCTTCCCAGGTAACCCTAATTCCAAAAACCTAACCCGAAAATATATACATATATTCATACATAGTTGTCCATATGTGGATATGCGTGATGTGTGCATATGGCCATATAGCTCAGTTTGTTTCTCTGCAGCTTAGCGACTTCACTCGTCTGAAATAAATTATATTTTTCCCCTTTTTATTTGTATTAGGTTCATATCTGCCTGTTTTATTTCTCTGGCTTTTTGTATAAATGCTCATGTGGGTTTTAGGTGTTTCAAAGGTTTCTTTTCATTTTCAAGGCATGTGGGTTTTTGCTATTGTAAATTTGTCACTTTTTTTATTTTTCATTTGGTAGCAGAGAAAATGCGTAATAGTTATGATAATTTCCAATATTCTTTTGTGTATTTTACATGTGGCTATTTGATTTGGGGTTGTTCTGTTTATGGGTTTGACAGAGGTAACTTGTTGGAAGTGCCTGGATTTTCTTTATAAGGTTGTCCACTGTCCAGTTGCCTTTGTAGGATTTAATTCTTTGACTATATTGTATCAACTATTCTCCCTTTCTGTTCAAGCATCATGCCTTCTGTATAAATTTTATTTTTGACATGTAATCCAGGTTTGTAGGGTTGTTTAAGTGGTTGTGCCTTCTTTGACTAGATGTTGATAATTGCATCATAAGCTAACTAAAGCACTTCACACTTTATTGATTTGCACAAATGGGTGAAATTAGATGAAGGCTGAGAGTTGTTTGTGGAGGAATCAGGAATGGGTGTTCTTGTGTGCTCTTTTCTTATGTGCAACTCTACTTCTTCTCTTTCTTATGACAAGAAAGTTATTTGTTCTTTGCTGATTCATTTTCATATTTCGCAACTCATATCAGAGAAAAAACCCAACCCATTCTAATTCTAAGAGTCAAGGAACAGAGACAAAGATGGCAAAGCGTCTAATTTCAACCTTTAACCATGGGCTAGTTGGCAAACTCTTTTCCGAGTCCTTCACCAAGGTAGCATTACCTTGATATATACATATTTGTTTATGCATTTATTAAATGGGTCTGATAGTATGTGATGCTGTGTTGGTGTTGGTGTTGGTTGGGTTGGTTCATTTGGTATAGCTGAACTCCGGAAAGGCAGTGGCTGTGGGATTGGGTAAACAGGACAAAGCAGGTTACAGCACCCAGGCCAAGCAAGAGTATGTATCTTTTACGGTGTTACTCTTTTTTCCCATGAATATTTTGTCACCATGGTTTATGTTTTATTTCTTTTGGCTACTATGTTGTCACCACACCATGTTGTGTTTGTGTATATGCTTTTATATTTTTTTTCTTCTCTTCCTCTGTTCTTATGGTATTTGGATTTTGGGTTGTGTTTGTCTTTTGAGTAGGTCTCATTTTTACGACGGTGCTTTTGTGGATGCATTCTTGATGAAAATGAAGAACAACAAAGATCTTCTTATGAATAAGAAAATTTGGTCGCGGAGATCTACAATTTTGCCAGAATTCGTGGGTTCTACAGTTCGTATTTATAATGGAAAAGTTCATTTTCGTTGCAAGATCACTGAAGAAAAGGTTGGACATAAATTTGGAGAATTTGCAATGACACGGAAACGTAGAGTTCATGCTAAAACTACTGGACCAGCAAGACCAGCAAAACCAGGAAAAAAAGCAGGCAAAAAGTAAAGCTCTAAGAGCATGCGTATGTCACTCAAAGAATCTGAATCACATCTCATGTTCCGTCTTTTTTGATCTTATAATGTCAGGTTTATATTGAAATTCTTAACATATCTGATTCTATCTTAACACATGAGCGATTTGGTTGGACATTTCCTGTAGGTGGTTGTGTTAGGTTTTGTTCCTAGTGTGTTTTGACTCGTTGAAATTTTCTCAGTGGATGCTTGCATGCTAATACTTTTGGTAAGCACAAGTTGTGTTTGGTTTGTTATTTGCATTGACAGAGATGTAGTTTGTCCAAACAAAGCTATTTGATTTCAAATAAGTTATGAATACCATTTTCTCCCTACTTTGTTGGAAGAAATCCAATGCTGGAACCAGCTTTTCCATGTGAGCTAGGTTAGCTAGGTTGGAAGAAATATTTTGGTACTCTTTTCCGGTTCAGATCCTCCATCTGATTTTAATTTCTCTAAACAAAAATAATTTGCCTCGTAATTTGTAAATGTGTTGAAACCCAAAAAAAAAAAAAAAAAAAAAAAAAAAAAAAAAAAAAAAAATTTTTAAAAGTAAGGAAAGTTAAGATGCCATTGCCTATTTTCTGCAAAAATACAAAAAGCCCTTCTGCGCACAAATTGTACCTTCTCGTAAATTAATATTCCTGGACGAAAAACAAAATATTTAGTAAGGCTATTCGTGTAATTTTCAAATTTTAAATGAAAAAAAAAGAAGAAAAGGAAAAAAACACCTGACACACTCGTACAGAGAAAATGGAGGATGAAACTTGGAGTACAAGTACAACACAAGCTAAGGGAGAAGAAAATATTAAAACAAAAATTGAGAATGGAGAAAAAACTTCCCAGCTCCCAGTAGCATCTGTACGGTGGGCGATTGTAGCTCAAGGTCTCAACTTCTCAGCTGTAGATAGAACAGAAAGCTGGTGCCGAGTTGAGTGTGATGGGCAGAGGTAGAAAGAGGTCAGGGAAAGATCCAGAAGCGGGTTTTGGAGAAAATGATGGGGGTTTAGAGAAGAAAGAGGGCTTTTTGGAAAATCAAAATGGCGGGACAAAATGGGTAGGTGAAAAAGTTGATGGGGTTGCTTTGAGTTTGAAGAAGAAGAAGCGTGGTGGAGCTTTGGCGGGTGAGAAAGTTGTGGAAGGTGGGGATGGAACAAAATGGGAGGAGGGTAAAGGCAATTGGGTTGCTCCGACTTGGAAGAAATATAATAGGCGGAGGAAGAGGGACAGAGATTTGGTGCCTGAGAAAGTTGGGGAAGGTGGTGATAGAGGTAGAAAGAAATGCCAAATGGGTTCTGAGAATCGGACTGGGAGTGATGAGAAATGGGGTCCAATGGGTCTGGGGAATGAGCAAGTTTATGTCTTCAGTGAGTTGGACTCTCAAGAAGGTCAAGAGCAAGGAAGTACTGGTTTTAGTGGCAAGGAAGTTGAAGGAGCTTCAGCAAAGAAACGTGGTAGACAGAGTAAGAAAAGTGAGAAAGTTAAGGCATCTGAAAGGGGAGTGGAGAAGCTTGTCAGTGGGAATTGTATTGTTAATAAGAAGAGTGCAGAAGTATGATGTTTGTAATTCTCTGTTTTGTGATTGTTTTCTATTGTTGTGATTATGTAATAACTTCTGATTTTGGATCTAACAGTTTGTTGAGGAGGTGTCTTTGATGTGCCATCAATGTCAGAGGAATGACAAGGCCAGTGTTGTTCGGTGCAGAAGGTGCAAGAGAAAGCGGTTTTGTATCTTTTGCCTAAAAAAATGGTATGGATTACTTGCTTGATCTATCTTATTGATTCTTCTGATTACTAACTAGTAAAGATGGTTGATTATTTGAATTAGGTTTGTTGGACTTCCATCATTCTTTGAAGTGAGTTTTATTAGTAAAATCCAGTACATGTATCTTGAACTGATGTTTGTGGATTTAATTTTCCAGCAACTTGTTTTTGAACAGGTTTTTGGAAAATTATATAAATTTCTTAGCCCAAGTACTAATTCATTCTGCTATTGTAAATTTAGTTAAAATGGGTTATATGCTGTTACCCCAAAAAAAGAGTTATATGCATTTGACTAAGTATGTAATCAAGCAATATAGATGCACTCCCAGAAAACTAATTTCCTTTACTCTGTAAATTGCTCAATATTTGTTAATAAAGGTTTTAGAATCAACTTTAAATTAATGGGTGGAACCTGGGGTATGTTAGGACTGGATCTAGTACTGAGAGAAGTCTCTTTTTATGTGTAATTGTAATACTCCAAATATTTTGAATTGATATTTGAAGTTTTTCTTTACATAGTTTTTATGACTACTTATTTAGAAGTTTTGTACTGTATAGGTATCCTCAGATGTCAGAGGATGCTATTGCTGAGGCTTGTCCTGTATGCCGTGGAAATTGCAATTGCAAAGCATGCTTACGCTTAGATGTACCTAATGTCAGTTTATCCTTCTTCGGACATCTCCTGATTTTCACCTCATGCCTGTTCATTTCATATGTTATTTATGTGAAGTTTGATAAATCTTATGGTTTTCACTGTAAATTTTTTTATGCGTCAGCTGCAATTCTGCATTAGCGAAGATAAAAAAGTTGAGCACTCAAAGTATTTGCTCCAAGTACTGCTTCCATTCTTGAAAAGAGTTAATGATGAACAAATGATTGAGATGGAGATCGAGGCTAGGAGACGAGGTATATTCTGTTTATGTCAGACAGGTGTAGGAACTTATTATATGGAGTTTGTTGATGATACAAATAAAAGTGCAGTCCAAGAACTGCAAAAGCAGTGACTAAATTTACTTGAAACACTGTTAACCAAGAGAACAAACCCACACAGAAGTTCGTTGTATTTAAGGAAAGTATTGAAACTTCCTATTGAAATTTGATTACGATACATATTGTTCTTCTGCTGCTATAGTACCCAAATTATCCGCTTAATTTACCAGCTCTTGCATTTCCTAGATTTCATTGTTATAATGGACCTTAAGCTATCCGCTTAATTTACCACTCTTACATTCCTAGATTTCATTTGTTATAATGATTCACACCCCACCTAAAAAAGTTCCCAAATTTCCAATGTCATCTAATATTTTGAAAAGGAGGGTTATAATTTATAACTTTGTGTTCAAGTGACTACAATGAAGAGTTTTTCCCCCCATAAGTATAATTATTTTGGGTGTGGGATGTAAGATTAGAAGATGGCTTTGCATGAATAGATTTTGGGCTAAAGGAAGCAGGTTTGCAAATGACATTGTCACGCACACAGGCACACATAGGTATATTCTTTATGTTACATTAATTTGTTTTATTCAGATTTTCCTAGTGGATGTTTCTTGATTCTTCCTTGGGGTTGCTTCTGATTGTAGGAAAAAAACGTGTGAACTTGGTTCTTTAATTTGCAAAATAAGTGATCAGTGTGATATTATTATCTTTATCGCCTAAGACCTAACACAAAATATTAACAAAACTTTCTGCATATTTGTAATTTGCTTTTTGGATGTCCATTGGGACAGGGCTATCTCTTTCGGAGCTAAAGATACAACGATCAGATTCCTCTTATGGTGATCGAGTGTACTGGTAGAGCCTTTACTAGAAATTTATTCTATTATAGATTTGTTCCGTATACCTATCAAGGATCCAATTTAACTTTGTTTTCTTTTCAGCAACAACTGCAAAACTTCTATTATTGATTTACACAGAAGCTGTCCTATATGTTCATATGATCTTTGCCTCATCTGTTGCCGAGAGATTCGAGATGGACACCTGCTGGGTGGTGGGGAGGAAGTGATTATGGACTATATCAATCAGGGCCTAAACTATTTGCATGGTGAAAATTGGGACGCTGTAGAACTGCCTTCAGAAACTAGCCACACTTGTCGTACATGGTCAACATCTGAGTGGAAAGCAAATCTAGATGGAAGTATTTCTTGCCCCCCAGAGGACAAGGATGGTTGCGGTCAAAGTTTTCTAGAATTGAGATGCATGTTTTCTGAAAATGATGTCAGAGAGTTGGTTAAGAAAGCAGAGGAAATTGCTCAAACTTACAAATTTACGCACGCTGCTGGAACTTCTGCACAACGGTGTTCATGTTCTAATAAGTTAAGGAAAGCAGCTTCTCGAGAGGGTTCTGATGACAACTTCTTGTACTGTCCAAGGGCTGGAGATATCCAACATGAGGAGTTTAAGCATTTTCAATGTCATTGGATCAGAGGTGAGCCTGTGATTGTGAGCAATGTGCTTGAAACTGCATCAGGTCTAAGCTGGGAACCTACGGTCATGTGGCGTGCTTGTCGTCAGATGAAACATACTAGGCATAAGAAACATTTGGAAGTCAAGGCCATTGATTGCTTAGATTGGTGTGAGGTCAGTTGTTATGACTTTTAATTCCTCAGTACTTTTTGGTGTGAGGTCAGTTGGATTGATGTAGGATGAACTTCTGTACATACAACTGAGGACAGTTGTAATTTGGTTTTGTTTTGATGATTTCTTTAACAGAATGTTGGTGGATCTGTTATCCACCCAGCTTTTGTACCTTGTACTATGGCTATATGTTTATCTTTCGTTTCTGGTTCTTTGTTTTAATAACTTTTATTTCTTGTAAGAAAAACAATTGATCAGTATTGTTCGTACTTATTTGTTCAATTGCTAACTTCTTGTCGTTATGATGTTCTTAATCTGGTTCACTATTTAAGTTCTAGCAAGAGAATGCTAAGAAGAAATATATGTACAGGGGTTGTCATCAATTTCAGGTTGATATTTTGATGGTGAACCTTTTATGGGGGTTTGATTCTTTTACTGGTTTGTGCAGTTTAAATAAGCATATATTGGTCACTGGTTTAAATTATAATTTCTTATAATATATTTTTCTTTGCTCGTGACTTGTGAGTTATACGTTATTTTGTTTATTCATGTGACAGACATTTATTTATTGTGTGTGATTCATTAAGGAAAGAGGAAGACCAAAAATAATATAGATGGAGTGATGATGGATATAATTAACTATGAACCAAGTCAAAGCTAATTAGTATGCTCACCCATCCATGTATTAAGAAATTCAGAATAAGAATTTAGCATGAAATCAGGTCAAATTACACTTCACTCTAACTCTGAATATAGGAGAGCTCATTGCTGATTAGATCCCTTAGAGTTTTGGGTTTGTTCAAACTTAACTCAAGTTCTAAACTCAGGCTTTGAAATAAAACAAGAGCAAGGTAAGATTGTGCTAGTTAGCTGGAAAATTTAACTGAGAAGTGTGGATGAACTTGATCATTAAAGAAAAAAAGAATTCAAGAAACATGAAATTGTAGGCTGGGACTGATGAAGGAAAGAAGTAAATAGAGATCGTAGCAGAGTCTGGACTCACACCCATACTCGGTTTCACAGAATACCTTTCATATTGCAGAAGAAAGGTTGTGGCCAAAGAAGGATTCTGGGAGCAAAATTCAATTTATGTCATGCCTTTAGATACTTACAAATATTTATAACCGGCAAGATTTCCCCTACACTAGCATTGAAGGTTAACCAATTAAAGAGGATTTTCCGGTAAATATCTTTACTCTCTTTGCAATACTACCCTCCCTCCGATGTCTAAATTGATGATAAGGGTGGTTATGACCAGTGGTTTTCTTATCTCAAACCATTTCTAATGAAATCCTCTGTTCACTGTATTGCTTTTTATTTCTAATCTGCTTCTGTTTGTGTAGTCTCTTAAGATATTTGATAATCCCCCAGTTGATTTTAACGTTGGCCTTTTTTCTTAGGAGAAAGAAGAATTCTTGATTGAACGTCTTTCCATTTTTTTTTCTGATATGGCAATCACTCTTTAATTGAAAATTAAAGAATGTAAAGTTTTCTTGATGGTTTGATTTTGATTTTTTATATAAATTTTATTTTGAATGCAGATAGATATCGGTATCCACAAGTTTTTTACTGGATATTCAAAAGGCCGTTTTGATCGGAAAATGTGGCCGCAGATGCTAAAACTCAACGATCCGTCCCTGGATGACTTTTTCCAGGAGCGCCTTCCTCGTCACTGTGCTGAGTTTATTTGCTACTTGCCGTTTAAGGAATATACTCATCCCCACAGAGGCTTTTTGAACCTTGCTGTTAAATTGCCCAAGGAATGTGTAAAGCCAGATATGGGGCCAAAGACATATATTGCTTATGGTGTTTCCGAGGAGCTTGGACGTGGAGATTCTGTAACCAAGCTTCACTGCAATTCCTGTGATGTGGTGAGTTTGGCTGTTTTGCATTTCTACTTTTTTTTCTCTTTGGGTGGGGTGGGGGGGTGTAGGTGCTGCGCGTAGCTGTGTTTACTTCCCATCAGACCTTTCTTATAGGTTGGAGTTTTTCAGTTGGGTATGTATCTTTAAAAAAATTTACTACCTGCCCATATTTTCTATTGAAAATCTAGCAAAGCTGGTTTGCAGTTTGCTATTCTGTATCTGGTTTGAGGTTTGTTATACTTGTATGTAAGACTTGCATTATTGAATTTTCTTTTTATGGTATTTTTTCTGGCAGAAATCACTGTATATTTAGTTCTAGCTTTTTGCAAGAAGGTTTTTTTCCTTTGCTTTTCTGCACATTGTAACTTTCAACATATGTTGTCTTGAATAACCTGTTTCAGGTGAATATTCTGACACATACTGCTGAATTTACCCTTACTCCCAAGGACATTGAAACTATGAAAAGGTTGAAAAAAAAGCACATTGAACAAGACAGAAGGGAAGTGTTTGGACATTGTCGGACTGTGAATGACAATGTTGGTTGTAACAAGGCTGGCAGTGGCAGGGCTGCAAATGATAAGCAATTTTTTTTTGAAGTTGACAATCAAAACAAGGGTGCAGCTTTTCAAGAGCTGACTGATCCAGCTGTTCAACCTGATGGTGATTCTTGTGTTTCTAGTTTGAATGCTGGAAGTTTTACAGAAGGATCCAAGTCTGAAAAGAATGTAGAGGATGGTGCTTTATGGGACATTTTCCGGCGAGAAGATGTTCCTAAGCTGCAGGATTATCTCTGGAAGCACTACAAGGAATTCAGGCATACCTATTGTTGTCCGCTGCCACAGGTAATTAATTGCTCATTAATTGTTAGGGTTGACGTATTTGAGCTAGGAATGAGAGAGAGAGACAGAGACAGTGAAGGTTCAGCCCATATTTAGGCAAGTATACATTAATTCATACAAGATCAAAAATACATAAGCATCCCTACTCTTACAACTCAACAAATGTGACAAAATAAGAAAACTCGACTGGCTTTTATTTCTAGACAGCCCATACATGAGTATGAACCAGTTTGGAAGGGTTGGTTATATGAATATGTTCTCTAGGAGAAAAGGACACATGATGGTGATGGTATTTCTAGACTAGACAAGGATTCAACTGCTGGCTGGGTTTAATAGACCTAAATGAAAGATGACCAGGACTAGACAAGGAGCTAGAAATCATGGAATACTGGCCATCCTTCTCATGCCCTTCACCAATCTTCTTCTTTGTGAAAGACTAATAGGATGTTAGCCTTTAAAGATCTCCTACTCCTTGTTGACTTGTAGGGCAAACCAAATGAATTAGAATTATCATGGTCCTACCTGCAAATGAGTATGTAAATATGCTGACAAATATATTATTCAGAACAAGACGTGATAATGGCCGACCAAGAGTCGACCTTCTGAATGAGAGAGAATGTTCGGCCCGCATTTTGGCCTGCTATCTTTATGATATGACGTAGAAAAGTAAAATTACATGGACCTTGAATTATCATTTCTCAAAAGTAGGGTTGATTTTCAGATAGATGAGATTGGATAGAAGCCTTCAGACAAACTTACAAAATTCCAAAGACACTTTACTTCCGACTGAAAATTTTCAGAATTCCAAAAGACCTTTCTGATTTTACAGTTTTTGATTTCTCAAAGGATTCAGAAAAGGGTTAAGTTATAGATAATAATAATAATAATAATAATAATGAAGCATTAAGTTGCAAATTAGAGTCCAGTGGATCCTCCCTTTGATTCATTCAAGCTTTTCTTCAAGGTCGGTGTCCCAACTAAGCTGAAAAATTTCACTTATGACATCTTACAGAGAAGAAGGCCCTGTGCATGCTTATTAGCGTGTTGTATGCAAAGTAGGCAGAGTATTTGGACCATGTATTTTTAGCACTGCAGGTTCACCAGACAGATCTGTTGGAGGTGTTTGGCTTTGTTTGGATGTTCCCTAGAAGCTGTTTATGTTGTGGTTGGGGGTTTATTTGGTTGAATCTTTGTTGATGTTCTGTATTGGCTCTCTTGAGGACAAGCATGACGAGGAAGAGTTAATTTGGAATAGGATTATTGTTAGCTTTTGTTTCCAGTTGCAGATTTGTATCCCATTTGAATTAGTATTTCAAAAAAGGAAAGTTATTGATATGTTTTTGTTTATATGAACGTTGTTTCATTATATATTAGTTTCTTTTTGTAGGTTATTCATCCCATACATGATCAGACCTTTTATCTGACTCTGGAGCACAAAAGGAAGCTCAAGGAAGAATATGGTTGCTCCATTGGATATCTATTTATAGTTGGATTGAAATTTATAATCCATCTGGGTTTCAAATTATATATCTTTTGTTGTGCTATCTAATAGGAATTGAACCATGGACATTTATCCAAAAACTGGGGGATGCTGTTTTAATTCCGGCAGGATGTCCACACCAAGTGAGAAACTTGAAGGTAACTTGTAGTACAAAAAGAAAAATGCTTGCCTTCCATCTATGGTGTACCATTTCACTTCTTTTTCTTTGTTACAAGTGAGAACAGGGGAGGAGGGATTCGAACTCTGGCCTCGATTTGGGGTTGGAGGCCTGAAGCTAGGACCCATGGTGTAACATTTTTTAAAAGCCACAAATAAATCCATTTTTCTGTGTGTCCAAAACCTTTTTTTTATAACTACATCTACCCACTTCATTTAAGCTATTCTACCTCATTTGACTCCTCATGACATGGAATAAGATATTCTTTATTAGCTTTCTTGATAAGTTATGAAAAGACCCATTCCTTCATTAAGTCTTTCAGTTTCGAGGGTCATATATTTATTGTCTATGTAAAATTGGAAAGAAAAAATTAGTATCTTTGAGACTTTCTGGGTCCTGTTTATCATTCATAGGCCGTCTCTGTACTTAATTCCTATCAATCTTGCAGTGAACACACAACACATCATCTCAGATTAAAAAAATGCTTGATGGTCAATGTAAAATTTTATTGCTCTGTTCGTGAAATATGAAATTGTTTTGTATTGATTGGTCCATTTCCATAATCAAATATACATAAATCTTGACAATACTAATTTTCTCCCCAGTCGTGCATTAAAGTCGCACTTGAATTTGTCTCTCCTGAAAATGTTGGGGAGTGCGTACGGTTGACAGATGAATTCCGCACACTTCCACAAAATCATAGGGCTAAAGAGGACAAATTGGAGGTACGCTGTCTTCTGTAGACAATATGTTTGGTTAATCACGCCAATCTTATGTCACTTGTTATAACATGAGTTGTAAGTGGCCTTTTCATTCTGTGGGTCGGTATGATTATTCAGTCATTATTGTCTAAAGAAGCATCCTTATGTACTTTTTGTGTTCATTTTTTTCACACAAGCGATATTGGGGGAGGGGGAAATCGAACCTAATACCTCAAATGCAGGGATAAATGCTCTTAACCACTTAAGCTACAAGCCCCTTGCCTTTAGATGAATGCTTAAATGCTTTTTGTATTCAATTTAGTTGAATGCTTTTGGGAGGGGGGGTAAATGCTTTTGTATTCATTTTAGGTGAATGCTTTAGGGAGGGAGGTATATTCATTTTAGGTTAATGATTTGTGGTGTAATTTTGAGGTTTTTGTTACCATATGGTATGCCTGTTTCAATTAGTTTTTCCATTTTCATGTTCTGTTGGAGGTATATTACAGAGATAAGACCTAAGCGACCATTAACTTCAAAACAATTCCGGTTGGAACAGAGGGCTAGGATATTGTGGTGGACACAGGATAATTATTTGATGCAAAATATTTTTTTGTTATAAAGGGCTTATTATTCTGATCCTCTTGAAACAGGTGAAGAAAATGATTGTTCATTCTGTGCGTTGGCTTGTGAAGGATTTGGATCAAAATATGAGGTTAGTGAACAAGTATAAGTTGATGTGTAGTTTAGATATTGCGTTTATGTATTAATGGAATCTGAACATAGGGTTAATTCTTACTTGTTTTATTGGATTTTCTTCTTTCAATTTTGTTTTGGGGCTCCATGGCGTCAGACATGTATGCAGAGATGAATCTGGAGAAAGACAGCAAGAAGGAACAGCAGAAGAGGGTGAAGTCCAAGCTGTTGACAAGCAGCCCACACAGAAAGACAGAAGGGTTGAAGAAGAGGAAATGCACTTGGTCAAAGAGCAGCCTTCACCTGCCCCTGTTGTACAATGCAGACCTGTACATGCATGGAGAGAGGAAGAATCTGTAGGACAGCAAGACGGAATGGAAATAGAGGAGGTCCAAGTTGTTGTAAAGCAGCCTTCACAGCCCCCTGTTGAAGGAGGTAAAACTGGGCATGCATTGGAAGAGGAAGAAGCTGGAGGACAGCAAGAAGGAATGGGAGAAGAGGAGGTCCAAGTTTTTGAGGAGAAGCCTTCACAGTCCCCTAAGTCCCCTGTTGAACGATGTAGAATTAGACATGCATGGAGAGAGGAAGAAGCTGGAGCACAGAAACAAGGAATGGTAGAAGAGGATGAGGTCCAAGTTGTTGAGGTGCAGCCTCCACAACCCCCTGTTGAACGATGTAGAATTGGACATGAATGGAGAGACAAAGAAGCTGGAGCACAGCAAGAAGGAATGGTAGAAGAGGAGGTCGTCCTTGTTGTTGAGGAGCAGCCTTCACAACCCCCTGTTGAACGATGTAAGATCGGACATGCATGGAGAGGGGAAGAAGCTGGAGGACAGAAAGAAGGAAGTGGTGATGAGGAAGAGGTCCAAGGTGCTGAGGAGCAGCGATCCTCCTCGCATCCTGCACAGTCCACTGTTGAACGACGTAGCATTGGACATGCACTAATAGAGGTGGAAGGAGGACAACAAGAAGGATGGAAAGAAGAGGAAGAGGTAGTTGTTGTGGAGAAGCCTTTACCATCATCAGAGTCTGGAGGAGATGAGGAAGAGGTGGTTGTTGTCGAGAAGCCTTCACAATCATCACAGTTTCGACACACCACTGTTGATCTTGTTACGGTGGTGCAGCATCTTGATGGCCTCGTGGAACGCATTACACATTTTGAACAGACAATGGAAGAGAGAGATAGAGTGCAGCATCCTGAATTCCAGCGCATACGTTCAGATTTATTGAATTTATCTTCCCGTCTTGGTTTCACAACTCACCCAAGAGTGCCTGGCATCCACCATCCTCTCAGCAGCTGAAGACCAAAGACCTTTAATTTAGGATTTGTCGTCTTGAATGATGTATGCAAACTTTGGATCGATGGTTCACTTTTTGTTTTAGTGTACTTAATCAATGACAGTTGATTTTGGAACCAAATTTTCAGTTCGGCTTGGTATTTCTTCTTGCTGATCTCCAATCTTAAAACTCTGGTTAGAGATTTTATTCATGAAGCAGTGGCTATCCCTCTTCTCATTTTGCTCATGTTTTTCCTTCTTTAGCTTCAGAGGTTCAACAGATGCATCTCCATTGATTGCCCATGTTGCAGATTCTTGGTGTTTAAGACTGGGACAATGTCATTTGTCATAGGGCCAGCCATATCCAATCTCATAAATATGTTGTAATTTGAAAAGCTTAGCTTGGTAGGCGTTTTTATGTCTGTTTTGTTTTTGTTTAGGAATTGCTGATCTTCTCCACGGCTGCTCTAGTAATTTGATTCCACATTTTGTATTTTTTAAAATAATAATAATAAACACTATGCTTACTCCAGCCACATTTTGTATTTCACCTTGATCTCTTAGAATTTCACCCCGAAGTAAATAAATGAGAACACATTATGTGAGTGGCATGCATATTGTTCTCTAATGATTTCCTTGACTTATTCTGCCTATCCTTTAAGCTTAATTTTTCATTCTTGTTGAGAATATCAGGAAAGTTTTTAGAACAGCTGCTAAAACTTCTCAAGTCCAATTGCAATGAACTTAAAGAGAAAAAGAAAAAGGGACATGAACACTAGCTATTGGATTCTCGGTCTTTGCCAACACACAACCAATTTGGTATTCAGAACACTATAAATTTATCACAGAGAGAGAGAGAGAGAAGTCAACTTGATCTTGATCTTTACCAACTTCAAGTCAAGTTGATACTGTTCATTTGTGCTTATCTTTACATCCTAGCCATCACTTTACCAAGCTTCTCAAGTCACTCACCAATAAAAGGGCATCACCAAATAGAGCATGAAACTCCAAAAACAAGGCAAAAGTTACTTGTGGTATAAAACTAAGTATTATATTTGGTTTACACCACTAGAATGATTTGGAGTTCACCAGGTTTTTTGGTAACATTTTGGATGAAAATGTTGGGGTTTACTAGATTGCATTATTGGCACCGCCCTTTGTGAGTGTCAATTCTCTAGAATTTGTGACAAGTCCTTCATTTTCAGTGGATGGGATGGGATGGGACAAGAATTAAATCCTATTGGGTAGAAGTCTCTTCTTCCTTTTCATAGTAAGTGATGAGCTGAAGTCACTTTCTGGGGCATACAAGTTTGGGACTTTGAGCAAGAAAATGGAAAGTTTGAAGGGTTCTCTGTACATGGGACAACTAGCGAATTAAATCAAAAAATGACATGCGGTCCTTGCGCCTGTGTGACATCAATTACAATTATTGGGACAAGTCCCTAAACAAACAAGTTATTTCTCTCATAACTTTTTTTATTACATATACATATTTCGGGTTACGTGCCGGGGACCAGGGTCCAAATTTTCCCTATTACCTCTCAATTCAACATCCATTATGATAATAGTGACATTCACATGTCTAGTGTCCCAAGTTTTTATGTGGTTCAAGCTGGATGGGTTCATCTAGGATGCATTATTGTTGATGATGACTTAAAAACCTCTCAACAAGTGTCCGTGCTCTTTACAAGGATAATAAGTCAAATTACACGTTATCATGTAATAATACAATCACATATTATCACGTGATAATACGTGATTGATTTAAAATACCGTTGCAATAACATTCCGATACGATATAGGTAAATTTTTCTCCTCCATAAAAAGCATGAGTTGATTTAAGACCCAAAGCCCACTCCCTCTCCCTGTCAGTTGACCGAATGTCTGAACACGGTTTGAATTTACATGAAAGAGGAAAGTTTTATTATTATGATGGTAAAGACCCACCTAAGACACCTTCTTGGGATTTTTTGTTTTATTTGTTTCCCATATTAAAATATATATATAAATATATAATTGGGATATGTTGAACTGCCAAAAACAATTAAAATATTTTGATGAAATTTTCAAGGCATTATATATATGATTGGTGATTAAACGACAAACAAAAACCCAAAAAAATTAGAGCTAAATTACTCTATTAAAGCTGTCAAGCACAACAAAATACTGAAAAAATTAATCATGGTCCCTGCAATTAATATAACAAGTTTAACCACTAATCCTTCAAAGCCAAGTGTTCTCATATATGTTTAAGGATTTCATAATTAAATGTCAAAGTAACATGATAAGCTTGAATCTCCAATACAAAATTGGAATTAAAAGTTAACCATGAGAAAAATAAATATTTTTGAGGAATATGAAAAGGAGTTGAGAACATTTCGCTTGCAGATTGAAACAATTTGCTGGAAAATCTGTCACTGGTCCCACAGGGCATGTGCTCCGCTATGATCAATGGTGATGCAAATCAACGGCTGAGATCATCACAGCAGATATGTTGATAGCAAATACAATATACTGATTTTATACGTTTATTTAGACAGTGATTAATTAGTAGAATTTATTATGGGGAAGATATGTATGAGGTGGCAGTTGCTTAGTATTGAATATTCATGTGTATATGGGCTACATCCATTGTCTTCTTCCCTGAAATCCAAAACCCACATGAGATATTTCCATGGCTACATGATGGTACTTTGACACTTCACCATTATCTTATGCTGTCTTCTGCCAAAGATTCTATCACAGTAGCCATATGAATTGGTCAATTGATTTAAGTTATTTCATTATTATGTTTAATAAACACACACACACACATATATATATATGCATGTATAAATATATATTCTGCAGAAGTTGGTGACAAGGTTGTAACAGAGGTCAGAGCAATTTGGAGACATAATTGGACCAAGTTGAAGGTGGCATATGAACAAGCTTAGAATACTCAAACATGAGTTTTTCTCTTTTTTTTTAAATTATTTACAAGCGATATTGAAAGTGAGAATAATCGAACCTAAAACCTCGGATGCAAATGTAAATGCTATCTTGTCTACTTGAGCCCGAATTTGAGGTTTTTTTTTGGGCGGGGAGAGAGATTGATATATATGTACTGTGCTAACTGCTATGTTAACATGAACACCCCAACCCTCATAAAATAAAAAGAAGGTGGTTTCAATTCAAATCAGGTGGACCAAGCAAATCTATAGTGAGATTATTGAGAGTGAGGGCCCTGAAAAGTTTTATGTGGAACTCATGGCATGGCATGGCAAACCTTATGGCCTACCAATATGTGAACTCACTAATTGGAGGAATACTAAATGTACACATGAAACATGAAAAATGGAAAATGGTTTTGTCACCAGTAAACAAACATACATATTACCATGAAAAAAGAGAAAAAGGGCAAAAGAGAGACCAAGCAAGGGGCAGATGGAAAAGCTTAGAGAGAGAGAGAGAGAGAGAGAGAGAGAGAGAGAGGGAAGGGGAAATAAAGCAGATGGGATAAACAAAAACAAAAATAAAGAAAAGCAAAGAATAGCAAATGGATGCAAAAGATGGTCTCAAAGCACACACTACTCTATTCCCACATGGGGAACAAAATAGCTGAACTGTAGTTTCTCTTATGCGATTGGACCCCATGCCTTCTTTATATATATTCTCTTTTTTTTCTTTTCCTTTTTTCTTCTTATTTAAATGCTTCTTGTTTTTCTAGAGAATCATAAAAGCCCAACACAAGACCTCTGTTTTTATGCACCACTCACATTCTTTCTCTAACTTTGGAGCTAGGCCCCCCTCCCCCCTATCATGGCTAAGCAAATCAACATAGAGAGTGATGCTCAAGAAAACCTCCTTACCTCATCTTCCTCCTCCACCTCCTCAACAACAACAACTTCTGATTCTTTGGCTGATAAAAACACTCAAAACTCAGAGAATTGTACATCTCAAAAAGGCTCATCAATAAATGGGCAAGAAGAACCAAACAATGAGAATGAGCAAGACAACAGCAAGAAGAAGAAGAGGCAGAGAAGCAGTGATCAGAGTGATGGCAAGCACCCGACATACCGCGGCGTAAGAATGCGTAGCTGGGGAAAATGGGTGTCCGAAATCCGAGAGCCAAGGAAGAAATCAAGAATATGGTTAGGGACATACCCAACAGCTGAAATGGCAGCTAGAGCTCATGATGTGGCAGCTCTAGCCATCAAAGGTGCTTCTGCTTTTCTCAATTTCCCTGAATTGGCTCAAACACTTCCCCAGCCAGACTCCAAGTCTCCAAAGGACATTCAAGCTGCTGCTGCTAAGGCTGCAGCAGCTGCAGCTGATGCTTCTGAGGAAAAGCAGATTATTTGTGAAACAGAGGCTGAAGAAACAGAGCCCAGCAGCAAAGTCAAGCTTCCCATGTCCTCAAATTCAACTTTGTCCATGGACAACATTAATGCTCAAGAATCAACTAGTACTTGTGCTTCAACTGATTATGATGATGACAAGTTGTTTGACCTTCCAGATCTTTTCATGGATGGCACAAATGGAAGTGATCAGTTTTGCTATTCTACTTCTTCAACATGGCATTTGTGTGCAGCTGACACTGGATTCAGGCTAGAGGATCCCTTCTTGTGGGAGTATTAGCTAGTGCCTAGTGTAGAGAGTGAGAGACTATGTATTTACTTTTTCTTTTTTTATCAAACAGAAATAATTAAGTTTCAAAATTCATCACATTTGGTCACTGCATGGTCCAAAAATAGACACCAGACCAATTCAGAAGAATTAACAGTTGCATATTGGAAATGGGTTTTGTTCAGTTTTGGACCTGCAGCTGCAGAGATTTGAGATTTTTTTTATAAATAAATAAATAAAGGAAAAAGAAGAAGAAGAAGTGTGACCATTTGTTTCTTTTCTTATAATTGGCCCTGAGAAAAGATAAAAGGGCATAATCTTTACTCCAATGGACTATATGAGCAGAATAAAGAGTCATTAGTTTCTTATTGCATGATTGAAGAAACATTTACCCTCCCTCCAGTCCAAGTTTTCTTTACTAAGAGGGTTTCAACTTTCATGGGGTTCAGAGAAGTTGACCATAAAGCTAGCCATCTTGATGGATTTTGATACTTCACAGATTTATGGAAATTTAATGTTAAAATGCTTTTAAAAAGCTACCCCCACCTTCTAAGGTTTAGATTATGCCCTTCTTTCTTTTTCCTTTTTCTTTCTTTCAATTTCTCTATCTTGTTGGAAAGATACTCTGGGAGGATGAATTACATCATGTACTAATGATGTCTTTACAAATCCTTTTCCTTTATCATCTTTTGAAAATTTAGGGAAACTGTTCTGCTTTATGCCATTGTGCATTAGGAAGGAACACTGTGCACCTATTTGCCTAGCTAATCAGAAACTACTCCCTTCTTTTTCTTTTTCTTTTTTGAGAGTAAACGATAATTGTATTCCTAACTTAGACATCAACAATGGCGAAATTATGAATTTTTCAACGGGTGGGCTAACTAAAGTTATTGGCTTAAAATCTAATTATAATTTTTCTTGTACTTTATAGTTTTTTTTAGAAATAAAATATATATTAAAGCATATAAACCATGCTATTTCATAGCTACATTGACTAATTTCCAATAAGATTTAACATAAAATAAATACATGTGAAATGCACCTAAAAACACACATAGTATCAAAATGAGAAATTGTTCAACAACAAAATTGAAATTGTACACATTCAAGTTGTGCCCTATGATTCTTGAGAGAATTGAGATCTTTTGTTATTGTGTATGAATAGATATTGTCAGCAAATTCTTTTTCGATGTAGACAATAATAGAAACTGCTATAAACTCATTCTTCATATGAATCGCATCACGCCCACACTTTGGACTACCTAATTGAGAAGGGTGTCGTTAAAATGAATATTGATGAAAACGATGAGAAAAAATAGAGACATGAGTGTTTTACTAAGGGATTATTTCTTAATTGAGCAATCTACTTAATCTAAAATCACATTAAAATATATTTATTATATTTCAATTTTCAGAAAAGGCTACTTAGGCTAGAGTCCATGGTAGCCTTTAAATTGATTCCGCAAGTAAGCATCAAGACCATCAGCCACAAGGTACCCAAATACAAATGTAGAAACTACCCCCTTTTTTAGCTGAGCAGTCACATAATGTTCCAATGTCAAAAGATTAACTTCAGTGAAAAGTTTGGAATTTTATGTATAGAAGATTGTGATGGGTTGGTAGAATCAGTGATAAAGCATTAAATCATTACCCACAGTAAGAGTTAATCTTACAACATTATTAGAAGAAATTGATCACTCTAGGGGGTTGTAAAGTTCAAGTGTCAAGTTGAAGAGGGTGAGGGCCACTTTATTTCTCTTCATTTTATATAATCCCACTAAAGAACAAATATTTGTTGAGCTAAACTCAAGCCTAAATAGTTAAACCATATGAACACTTCAAGATTCCATTAGTAGTGGAAAACCCCATAGATAGCTCAAGTGATAAAATCCAATTTTGAGGGAGTACTTATGTACTTGCTACAACCATTTCACCTAATTACAAAGGTTAATCTATTTCAGATTTTCTTAATTAGACAATGATTAAGATAATGAAATTAATTAATGGGGATTCTAGAGAATGTAGACACCCATGTAGGTACCCAAAGCTAGGTGACAATATCATGAAACTAAATAAAATGGTAGGTATAACATATAGAATTGATTTTATAATTAAATTAATTTAATAGCAAAAACTTAAGGGCCCCAGTGCTCCAATGTGCATTAGTGGTTAATGACCTCACCATCATTATCTTCTTCCATCTTGTCTTCCCTTCATTTGCCACACTTCATTTGCCCATTGGACTAAAATTCGAGAGAGAGACAGAAAATTTGTTTATAGGTCCCACATGTTAAATCTTCTCTGCATACCACACTGGCAAGCGCTATGTTAAAAAAGACCCACAAGTATCTAATCATTGAGCTCCTATTTACTCTTGTATAAACAATAATAATTAAGAGGTTGCTAAACACCGCAGCATGAGACAAAACTAAGGACACCAAAATCCTCTCAAAATCCTCTCTCTTTCTCTCTCTCTCTCTCTCTCTGCGCTAAAGTAAGCAATGAGGGTGTTGATCAAATGATAATGACAGTGCATATGTTGATGACAAACCTTTTGATTAAAAAGATGATTGGAATTTGATGTGTGAAATTTTCATGAAGAAAAGTCTTGGTAGTTGAGGCTCCTATATTAACTTGGTACTAACAGTAGCCATCGTGTTTTTGATGGTTGGCTTGTCATCACAATTAAAGACAGGAAAATTCTAGTAGTACCAAATAATTGCTCTTTATACGTACAATCAATCAGAATTAAAGACATGTTATTAAGGTACCAAATAATTTGTCTTTACAATCACTCAAATAATTGTCCTTTGCACTCACTATAAGTTGAAGATGATTGGTTTTTACTCTTACTGAGATATTACTCTTAACACCCTCTTCGAAACGATAATTTTTCTTGCATTTTATTTTATTGTTTATTGTTCGCACACGAGCGGTCAAACACTGATTGTTAGTTAGTAAGTTAATATGATGCTAAATACTCGTTTAGATGTACTCCACAATAATCCAAATAATTCATTTTATATATTGTAGGTCAATTTTCAAGAATCATTCCTATTAAATATTAAACAAATTGAAAGTTCGTCATTTGATTATCATTGTGATTATTACGTACTTTCATTGTTTATTAAACATATTGTGATTTATTTGATCACAGTTAAATGGATAAACATTTTTATATTACTTGTCCAAATGTCATTCTTATATATCTGCTGGTGCGGGATGAGATTTAAAAGTTACAGATCAAGACTTCTTGAAACTAAAACTCCTATCATATTAAACAATCACTTATAAGCCCGTGGTTAATTAGAGAAACAGTCAACAACGTATATCAAGCCATATCAAGCTAACTAGCACAAAGTAACTCAATCTTTCGTTAAGTAATCTCCATTCAAAGTTTCCAAGCATTTTAATTAACGAAGCATAAAATCGAACCTCACGAGAAAGAAAAAACATACATGCATGATTTTTACATATTGTTCTCCCCTTTTCTGTTTTTTTAGTACAATCGATAGTCTAACTAAAGGGGAGGAAGGATTTCTCACACACACACAACTAAGATGACATGAGGATTCGAACCTAAGACCTTTTATATGCAAGTTAAGACCATTTTTCACTAGTTTAGACCTCGTTGACTCCCTTTTCTAGATATCCATCACAAAATTATGCATGATATGCACAATTTGTACCCTTTAGGCCCTGTTTGGTTTGTGGAAAAGGAGACTTGGGGATAGGAAATCAATTGTTTTCCCATATTTGATAAGTCCGGGCATGAAAAATGGTTGTTTGGCACATGGGAAAGTATGGGGGAAATTGAAGCCCTCCTCCCAACTTGGGTTTTGTTTTTCCTCCTCATGGAAAATTTTAGGAAAATGAACCAACATTCAATCCACATTTTTATGACCATTTTGTCCTCATTAATAATTTAGAATTATAATATATCATTAAATGTACTTTTTTTTATTTGATTTAATGTGGTATAATTAGAAAATTATACAAACTTTGTTTTTTATTCCTACTCAAAACAAACATGGAAAATAAAATAAAGTGAAATCTCCCGGTTACTTTTCCGACATTACCAAACGTGGGAAATGAATCTTCCATTTCTCATCCCTTAGGAAATGACATGGAAAGTGATTTCCCCTCAAATTCGTCATGTGAACCAAACAGGGCCTTATGGTTTGAGACATGTAATAGTTTCTTCATTTGTTTCAATTGGAACACCAATCATAAAGTTACAAATTGTTATGCATACCTCATATGATCATCATAGTTGGCTTATACAAAGTATAAAACTCCAAAATCCTAATAATTACTTTATAATATTTGATGATATATTTTTTGGTTACATTATTCGTCATAATTGTATGCTCTGATATTATTATTTTTAGGTTATTACTTATAATTAAGGGCTTGTCCAATATAGATCCCTACATTTTCTATTTCTTAGACATATACCCATCACTCTATAAATCTATGTGTAAAACCCAATTTCAAATTTAAATGACCAGTAGGATATAAGAGGTCGTAGTATTTCTATGTTTTTACATCGTTGCCACTAAACTTCATATTTTATTTATAATTTATTTCAAGCATTTCATTAACTACCATAATTGTAATTAATATACTCCCTATTAATAGCATATCAATCACCCCATTTCTTTTAGTTGTCATTCCCTCTCACATCTTGCCCCCTAAAATTGCAAACAAAAAAAAAATCTGTAAATTACATATCCAATAATGTACCTATGAAAAATATAATATAAATATATACATATAAAATATAGGTATATTATTTACCCCCAAAAAAAAAGTCAGTTACTTTGTAATTGCGTATATTTTTCATAATTAAAAATAGGTACACAATAATTTATATAAAATATAGGTACATTATTTGGAGAGGAAAGATAGGTACATTATTAGAGGAAAAAAATTGGTAAGTTATTTGGAGAGAGAAAATAGGTTAATTTAAAAAAATTACGTTTAATAAAACAAATAATAGGTACTTTATT